TCCTCCCGCTCGGGCCCGGGCGGTACATAGACCTTTGAACGATGACACAGCATGCCATCTAACTCCTGAAATGGGAACTTTAGTCCGGCCTGTAGTTGCTCTTGCACCCAAAAGTCCTCTTGCTGCCGCGCTCGGATCTTTTCAGCCAGAGTCGAAGGGGGCCCCGATACGCCGGTGGACGCAAAGTTTTCTGGGCGCAAAATGCAGGACTCAGAAGAATCTTCTTGGCCCCGAGTATACTCCGGCTTGCGCGACAAAGCATCCGCCTGTTTGTTTTGAGCCGCCGGCACGTAGCAAATCCGGAAGTTGAATCTCTCAAAAAACAACGCCCAACGCTGCTGTCGTTGGTTTAACTTCCGGGAGGTACGGAGATATTCCAGATTGCGATGGTCCGTGTGGACTTCCACTGGTTGCATAGCACCCTCTAGCCAATGTCTCCAAGTCTCAAACGCCGACTTGATGGCTAGGAGTTCTTTTTCCCAAATGGTGTAATTCCGTTCGGGGGCAGTCAACTGCTGGGAAAAGTATGCACAGGGCTGGAGATGATCTCCCTCAGGTTGTAGCAACACTGCCCCAACCGCCACATCCGACGCGTCGGCCTGCACCACAAAGAGCTTAGTTGGATCAGGATGTTGCAAGATAGGCTGAGAAGTGAAGAGCTTCTTGAGCTGCTGAAAGCTTTCCTCAGCCGCCTCAGTCCATAGGAACGGCCGTTTGCCTCTCAGGCATTGGGTAATGGGGTCCGCCCAGCGGGCAAAGTCTGGGATGAACTTGCGGTAGTAGTTGGCAAAACCCATGAATCTTTGAATGTCCTTTCTACTCATGGGGGACTTCCATTCTAACACCGCGGAAACTTTAGCGGGGTCCATGGAAATTCCCTCCGCAGAGATGCGGTGTCCCAGAAAGTCCACTTCGTCGAGATCGAAGGCGCACTTTTCCAGCTTAGCATAGAGTCCATGATCTCTCAGGCGCTGGAGCACTGCGCGCACCTGTTGCGCGTGATCACGTGGATTCGTGGAGTAGATCAAGAAGTCGTCCAGGTAAATGACCAAAAAACGGTCTAAAAAGTCACGAAAGATATCGTTGACGAAGTGCTGGAACGTGGCTAGAGCGTTACAGAGCCCGAAACTCATGACTCTGTATTCGAAACTTCCGAAGCGGGTCAGGAAGGCTGTCTTCCACTCGTCCCCTTCCCGGATACGCACCAAGTTGTAGGCCCCCCTTAGGTCCAATTTGGTGAAAATCCGGGCCCCTCGCAAACGGTCGAGAAGCTCCGGGATGAGGGGGAGTGGATAACGGTTCTTGATCACGATGTTGTTCAACGGCCGATAGTCATTGCAAAGCCGCAACTCCCCTGACTTTTTCTTGACAAACAAAACTGGGGCCCCAGCCGGCGA